ACACTCCTGTAATGCATAGCAGCACATTATAATCAGCTGTCAGTGGTGCAGGGAAAGAAACGGGAGCGGAGTCAAGTAAGGACTCATAAACAACTCGTTGCAAAGTGCAGGAATCTGTATATAATAATAAAATAGTTTTATAGTCAACTATACATACACATTATGATATTAAGATTTTCTTTTGACAATTAAGTAGTTTCAAAAGCACAACAGACCTGAGAGCTTATCGTGTCACCTAAGTTCCGTTTGCTCCATGCTGTCCGGTACATAGATATGTATTTACATATGTGTGTGCATACAAATCTGCATGGCTCTCACACTTTCTTTTCTCTTTTGTTCTCCCTCCAATGTATGTATTTAAATGGGAAACTTTTCTGCTGTTTGCAGACATTGATCTCTCGGAAAACCGGAGAATGAGCTCCAGAAATTGACAAGGGACCATAATATCAGCCTCATATATAATAGCTTGACAAATAAAATATACGATTATTTATCTTGTTAAATGGGTCAAACCTTTTAAAGGAATCTGCGAACAAGGCTCAAAAATTAAAAGTAAATAAAACTGGTCTAACTTGTATACCACTTTCGGAAGAGCCAAAAAACGATGGCAAATATTTAGCCACTATCCAGAATCCAATTCCATTAGCAGCGAGAACTAACACAGCTCTAAATGCAGTAACTATCTTTAACCGAATCGAATGAAGCCAAATAAAAGGCATGCCCATTCGCGATGGCCTTGCGGCCGCTGCATTTAAGTAAATGCAAACCCCCAGCGCTGGCATAGCTAAGCAGCACTGCTGGCCCCTCCACCCCGCCAACCAACCAGCCACCCACCGTCACCACACCCACACGCCTACTTAACAACCGCTTGCAGCACCTGCAGTCTTCGGTCTGCCGTCTGCAGCACTTTGCTGCCTACTTTGGGGCGCCACTCAATTATTTATGTGCCCCTGCAGTGTGGCGCTCATATGAGCAGGCGAACTTTTTTGCGCCTCCACCCTCCAGCTATCCCCTTATCACCGACAACCACTAACATGGAATGTCTTTAATGTTAATGACTCGAGTGCAGCAGCAGAACTTTCGCAAACGCTTAAGGCGGCTTTGTGGCAGGACGGCAAGACTTTCCCATTGTGTGTACGAGTATGCGGGAATCTCAAATCTCTGGTGACAAGTTTCCGCTGCACTCGGCGGAGCAGAAGAGCAAAAGAGAGGACGAGGGACATAACTTTTTATTATAATATGCAGCGTCTCATTAAAAACGCATTAAGTATGCATTGTAAATCATGATTGTGCCATAAGTAGCACTCTGACTGAACCTCCGTATCCACACTCGCAGCCGCCTCCCCAGGGGCATCGGCATCAGCATCAGCTGGCATCGGCAGCAGTTATGTCTCACCCGATAAGTGACAAGATACGAAATATTATGCGAATGTCGGGGTGTGAAGCTTTTGAGTTATCATTGCAATTAACCTGAAGGCAACCCACAGATGTAAATAAATAGTCAATGTGTGATGTTCCACGAGTCCATTTCAACAGAATATCGCCATGGAGAAATCAGAGGCCGATTTTTATTTAAAGGAACTCCGTCACAAGCCCAACCATTTTTCCCCATTTTCCATTTAGCCATTTAACATGTTAATAGCCCTGCCCCGCCAGAGTGTGCGACAGACCTTTTTGTGGGCTATAAGAAAGGGAAAAGCTCTCTCACTCTCTCCACCCAAATGAGGTGGCTGTAATAAATATTTTATGAAGGCCAGACACAGACCCCACAGCCACAGCACAACGGGCCAGAGACAGCCTTCTCTACAGGTAGCCGTACCGTCATAAAAAGGTAGAACTTTGTAGAAAAGATTGCGCTGATGTGCTGTAAATTTCTTCCTTCCGTCTTGTCAACAGACAGCCACACAATTGGCTGGCAAATGGCTAAGTGTAAGCGTCTGGCAGCGACCCAATAGAGGGCTAAGATTGTCCCTTTTGCGCCCATCGTGTGCAGACCCACACTTCCACTTCCTTATGTGTGTGTGTGTGGGTGCCCTAGGGGTTTCTGGGCATTTCTTTATTCATTAGCATTTCGTCTGGAATCTGGAATGGAGCGCGAAGCGAGAGAGGGAAATCTAAACATTAATATTAAATTTGGGTTTGCTTTTGGTCTGCTTTTGATGCCTTTCGGACTAATTTGGAGCTGGAGCGCAAAATGCTTAACAAATTTAATCAGTAAACCGGCAAATTAGTTTCTCTATGCCAAACAAACAAATCTATTTTAAAGGCCATTTCCGTTGTTGTTATTGTTGTTTCTTTGGCCAATTTAACATGCATTCGATGTACATAGTTGCTGTTACGGGCTTTGGGATTTTATTTAAACATATTTTAGGCTTTGCTTTCAATGAAATTTATGGGCCCCATGCAAATGCAAAATCTGTGCTAAAACGTTTTTAATTGCATTTCGGAGAGAATAAATCGATGCTAAATTGTTTCAATTTCAACTAATTTACCCTCATTATGTTTTACAAATTCTTTTGTAGTATTTTAACACGTATTTCCGTTGGGGGAAACGGTTCTTTTAGTTTTGAATATTTACCCCTACTTTTTAAAGGCTAAAACCTATATGGTAAAACCAATACGGAGCTCGAGTAATTGGTTTGAAATTTAATAGGAACCACAAAAACGTGCAACGGCACCCTGGTGACCCCTAAAAAAATTACCTATCACCGCTTAGAGCCCACACAAAAAACAGGAAACCCATTAACCATAACGCCAAGGGCAATAAAAATAACAAGCCGCATCAAATTTTTAAGTAACGTTCAGCCAGGGGGAAAAATACAAGCAAATGTAATTGCCGAAAGCAAGAGGCTGCTGTCTAAGGCATTGGCTTTTTATGGTCCTGGCCATTTTTTATGTGTTCACACAGTTTGGGGGACAGTCAGAACAGACAGAACTTTCCTTTGGTCACACAAGTTGTCGCCTGGGAAATTTACTGAAGAAACCGCAATAGAACCTCGGATCTTGGAAACTGTATGAAAACATATAATATAATGCTTTGATATATATAAAAAAATATAAAAATAAATACAAGGGGTTCACTTACGAAGATCTTTGATTGGGACAAAGTGTTTTACATTAAAAATAAACACCAAAATATAATCCGAACAAATTGCATTATCCCGAATCCGGCTTTAGTGTGACAGGTTGCACCACTCAAAAAAAAATGGCATAGTACACAGATCTGAAACCGTTTTTTCTCTGGGCGTCGAAACAAAAATGTATAAACTAAAAAGAAATTTAATAAGTGCTGCGTTAATATCAACTAAAACCACACACGTGAATTATATTGTCACGAGACCAAGCTATAGGAAAGCTTCAGAAATATATGTTCGTGTGTATATCTGTCGAGTCAAGAGGCTTTGAAAGATGATGTGTGATTATGCTGGATCCTCCTCCTTGTCTTCCTTCGGTCAAGTCCTGGGTGGAGTTGGGCATGGCAATGCAATCAATTTTCTCGACAATTTTTGTCATTTGTTAAATTGGAAATTGCTAGCTGCAGGTCATCAAGTCATGGGAGACAAGGGGAGAGTGCAGAGAGAGAGAGAGAGCTGAGAAATTCTTTTGGACAATTCGAGAATTCTCTTTGTTCTGGGCCTACCTACCAACAGATGGCCATGTCCTTTGCACATTTTGTTGATTGGTCGCCTTCAGGGCCTCCGGAGCTGTGCAAAACTTTTGTTGATTTTTAATTGCGTCGATTTCTCGTCTTGCACTCAAGTGAAATAATTTATAGCCCCGACAAAAAGACCACACAAAATCGTCTAGCCTGTTTCGAGCGCATCTCGGATGCAATAGCTAAATAAAATAAAACCTTCTGTGACTGTTCAGGCGCTAAAATAGAGCCCAGAGTGAACGTTTAGCTGCGTCGTTAAAATTTCGCATACCAGGCTGGAGCTCAAGAGCTCTTTGGTGATTGCTATATCATTATTATTGCTAATTTCTGAGAGAAAGCAAAAAAAAAAAAACGGCGCCCCCGGGGGGGGGGGGGGGGGGGGGAAAGAAAAAAAGTTTTTTTGGGGGGGGGGGGGGGGGGGGGGAGGCAACAAAAATTAATTTCTTCATTCTGGCTATAATTATGATCCGGGGGTTTCCGGGGGGGGGGGGTTAGGGGGAGGCTTTTGGGTATTTTTCATTTAAATGTTTTTAATTCATTTTATATCTTTCTACACTTTTGCTAGGGGCTGAACGCGGTGAGTGTGGGGGAATGGGGTGGGGGGGGGGGGGGGAACTGAAAAATTTGGTTCAGACGCCATCTGGGCCATGTTGGCGTATTTTAAAATTGTGCCTGCCCAGATTCGTCCGTGGGGGGGGGGGGGGGGGGGGGCGGGGGTTGGGCAGACAGCGGCGCCGGGGGGGCGGCTTGGGGACAATATGCTTTGGGGTCGGTCCTCCGCGTACACACACCACTTTAGTTTCGGGCGGTTTTCCTCTCTGGAAATGATTTTTAATTCTTTTTATTACCCTTTGAGGCAGACACTTAAAAATTTCGACAGTCTGTGTATTGCACGAGTATTGTCATTACAGTGTGTAATTCATCGCACCTCACACATGCTCACGTTTTATTGAAGTGTTTAACTCATGACCAGACATTAAGAACGGCTCTCCCTCTCTCTCTGTCTCGCTCTCTGGTTTATCTCCCACTGGGCAATCAAAGCGTTGTCCTTTTACGGCGTCTCTCCGGCTTCCTTTGATGGCGACTGCAGTGAAGGCTGGCAGCACTTGGCCACATCTTGGCGCATCATCAACGCCAAGTTAATGCCATTGCAGCACTCGTCGCTCGATCTTTTGGGTTTCTGTGTGTGTGTGTGTGTGTGTTGTGGCATTTATGGTGCACTTTTGGCATCCTTCTGAAGCTGGAGGATGTGTCATGGCCTGGCAAGACAATTAATTAAATGCTCAGCAAACACACAGAGAGAGGATGGTCCTGCAGAAGCCATGAAGACAAAGATGCCTGAAAACAAAGAGCAACATTTTTCAGGGTAACATTTATTATATCGATATAATTTCGAAGGCTCTCGGCATATGTGTGGAGTTCTACTCATTCCTTTGGCTTCTCAACGTTGACAGTCACGTCCTGCTCGAGCTCGTCATCCTCCCCGTCTGAATTCCTATCGGGTGCTTCCTCGATCTGCTTGGCATAGTAGTCGGCCTTTGATTTGGCGATTTCCGCATCTCGGTTTAGACGGGCAGCCCTCAGATCATTGCTCAGCGTCGCGTATTTCTCCTGCTCACGATAGTTGCCTTGCTGCGGGGATCAAGGAGGTGAAAGAGAATGGATTTAGCCAAATAGATTAAAGAATGCTGAAGTTATAAAAGGGGAATCTCAATTGTGACAAGAGAATATCTAAAGAATCTGTGGAGAATATATTATAAGGGTGATCTCTGTAAATAAAGAAAATAAAAATAAATTAGTAAAATTAAATCTGTAAAAGGGATTATAAATTAGAGCATATAGGTATTTGTGTGTGTTTTTCTGTGGTATGAAACATATTCTCACGACTGCAGCTAAAAAAAAATATGGTAGGCTTAATTAGTAAGAAGTTATCTGTCTGCGTCTCAGCTGAAAATAAAAATAATAGCAATAAAGTAAATATAATTATGTACAAATAAACGCAAATCATCAATAGAGTTTAAAGACAGCTCTAGGGACAGATCTGCAGGTAACTTAACTAAGCCTGGACATACCTATAACCCAATGCCCAACCTAACCTTTCTCTGTCTTCCGTTTGCTACTACTAATCCTGGCTCTTCTCTGTCTCTAGCTCTTCACGCCTCCTCCACCTCCTCTCCACTCCACTCCTCTTCAGTTCAATTCATTTAACTGTGTTAAATTAAATCACAAATCAAAAATCAATTACAGTTATTACGACAACGACTGCGACGATGTCTACGATTTCCAATCTCTAAACGAGCGCGCGCTGTCTGCAACAACAGCTGCAACACAAAGTGGGGTCCCCATCCGAGAGCGGAAGTGCCGGGCGACCTCTATCTATGGCCCAGACTCTGCTCTGACTCTGGCAGTGGCTGCTCTCCTTGGGAGCGGCGGAGAACATTCCTGCAATCTGTTCGGGCTGCCTTTCTGCCATTTGCTGGCTGGTTGCCTGCCTGCCTGCCTCTCTGCCTGGCTGCCTGGCTGCGACTTCCACCCGGAGCTTCATCAATAATGATGTTATCGGTTACACGGGCACACACACAGACAGCTGGAGAGGATGGGAGGATGGGGGGCCACAGGCAGAGCACACGCTGCATATTTATTTAAAGTTTTATGGGTCCAGGCCGAGTCCGGGCCAGGCAGGGCCAGGCCAAGGGGTGCACCATAAAGATGAAGTTTAGTTGTTGCCAGCGGTGGAGGTGGAAGTGGGAATGGGAATGCGAAGGAGGAATGGAGGAGGAAGCAATTCCAACTGGTTTTTAATTTCGATTTGATAAAGATTTTAATATTGTTAGCCGGAGATGAAGGAGAAGGAGATGGCAACATCAAATTAATGTAACGGATGTTGATTGCTCGACGAGCTAAAAGTGATTGCCGATTGCTGGGGGGGAAAACCCTGATTGACTTTTTCCTTATGTCAGTGGATCAATATAGAGGAATGTTCGCGAGGCTTGAAAATCGTTGAAAAAACGTAATATTTGAATATTTAATTGATTTACTTCACTCACAGATAAAATACCTGTAAATCTAATATTTTAGATAAATTTAAAAATGTGCAAATAGCAAAAGATTTTCTTTGAGACTTGAAACTATTAAATAAAAGTGTTTCCATTTAAATTTTAAAATTAATATAACATATATGATTTATATATATTTCATATTAACAATAAATATAAATATAATATTTTCATAAGTAGATTAAATAAATTTCTTTAAAATATTTAAAAGTGTTTTGTATTTAGATAAAATGCGAGTCGTTTTAAAATATTTTTCCCTGATTGTTATTACAGTTTTAAACATCTCCCATGGGAGACTGTGATCTCTTAATACCTTTGTCAAATGTTCTATGGACAAACCTTTCTTGAAACCCCTTTATTTTCCTGAGAATACCCCTGTCCCTGTCAGACTTCTGTTTTCGGTCCTACCCCTCTGCGGTTTAGGCATTTACTTTGTCATTTTGTTGGAAATTAATTCCCATTCATGTACAATCTGACAGACTCTGATACTTTTTATTTCGGTGGTTGCAAAATTTCATTAGGGAGCAGCAGCAGCAGCTTCCCCCACCAAAAAACAACCCCCAGTGCTCCACCCAATTCCAGGGAACTTCATTTGTCCAACGACATGGGGCAGAGGCAGACAGTAACAACTCTCGAGTACATTTTATGAGTTCTGGCTCAAATAGAAATGGCTGCAATAACACTAAAGAACTTCTCGAGTCCCCAACAGATGCTGGCCAATTACGAGTGCCATAGATTGAAAAGTTTTCCAGGGAGGATAACCATTTACTCCTTGGAGTTTGTCTGGTCCTGATTAATTCTGGAAGGAACACTCAAACTGCATTGTCATTTGCATATCCAGATCCAGGGCCAAAAGTGTGTGAGAGAGAGGGGGAGAGAGAGAGAGTGAGAGAGCAAATGGCAATTTATGTCGGGGCTCAGATTTTGTGGTTTTACTTTTCCGCATCATCAAATCGAAGCAGGGTCCCATCCCCAGCATGGGAAACATCATGACTGGCGTAATTTACACACCAATGACTTTCCAATCCACACACATACACACATTCCGACACATATGCAAACGCACACACAGATACAGTACATATATGGATATGGATAAAGACTGGGTCTCATCTCGGGCTAATCTTATCGGGCGTGGCACAGCTCATATAGCTTCGCAAAATCGCTTTAATATTGAAATTGCCAATTTCGATATTCATTAAATATTGCGATGGTGAAAGAGGAACGCAGCAATGGAAAGAAGGTTGTTGGTCGAAGCGAGAGGAGGGGTGGCAGAGAGTCCCTGTGCAAGAAAGCGTGCTTATCCTGACATCAGTTTGGCCCCCAGCACCAAGTGCGATGGAGCGGGCGGGCAGGCAATCAAAATCCATAAACATCAATGTCGCAAAGCAGCAAAGTGCACTAAGAAAAATCCAAGATATTCGGTTTAGAAATTCAAATATAAGGAAATTAAATCGAATTTACTTTGATAATATAAATGTACTTAAGAGTATTTTATAATACACTATACAATTAATATAATATATTAAATTTGCTGCAAATATATTTAGTTTAAATTTGAAATATACTTATTTTAAATATATCAAATTTTATTCATCTTTTTCAATTGTCTTCTTCAGTTGTCCACACTCGCTGCAAGTCAATTGGTATACATTTTTTAATCTGAATTTAAATGTTCAAATTTCAGTGCTCTTTTCTCTAAGTGTAATTTTACAATTTTTTATAGATAGAAAGCTTTTCTTTTGGTTCAAATTTTTCACAGGGATCTATCTCATTTCCGCTTTTTGCCTCAGTCACCAAGCCAAACTGTTGTTGTCACGCATTTTATATTTAATTTCTTATCAAGGCATCATCGAAATTGCGGTTCATTATAAAGAGAACAAAAATTTTGTATATTTGTACATATCTGCCACCCCACGACTTGAAGCTTTAACATCTTAGGGAGGCAGAGGCATACTCGTAGATACGGGTACGAGTATTTGTATGCATATATGGATTCATGGCGGTTCGGTTCGTTTATGCCTTGTGCAAATTTCATCAAAATAAATACAATTTATAGCGCAATAAGCCAATTTATGCCTCGTGTTCTACGGCGTGGTTCCACTCCCTCCCCTCTCTACGCACAATTTACATAAATTTAGCAAGTCAAGTAGGGGGGACAAGGAAATGTTATATGTGTAAACAGCGAATAAATAATATTTGATTACCCCGTGGGTGGGGTGCCAGTGGGGGATCGCCATAATTCACCTCAACTGAATTATTGTTTAACTTGCTGTTTGGAATTCTAATGGACGCTGTTACATATTTCTAAGAATCCCTTGACTATATTGTAAATGTTTGAGAAACTTATCATTCGATGCGAATTAAATATACAGAATATCCCTGATTGATCCCATTGTATGCCGAGGAATGGCAAAAGAAATTCTAGATAACTGAAAAAAACACTGTTAAAGAGTGAGAAAACAAATGGACGAGAAGAAACGCAATTAAAGCAGCACATGGCAGCGAGGGCAGACCGACCACACTAAAGCGAAAAGAGAGAAGAAAAATGCGCCCCAGAGCAAAGAGTGAGAAAAAGTGTCACACAGTGCGTATGTGGAACAATTTTTAATTGCTGGACATATGTTCAAGTAATTGCTGCAACAGTTTATACGGGGCGGGGGGGATAGAGAGCAGCGGGAAAAGAGCTGCGGCAATAAAAACTCTTTTGTGAAAATGATACAGTTTCTGTGGTTTTCTTTGCACTCATTACTCTCGTCGGCTAAACTATTTTCCTTGGTTCTTTTTCTGCGCTACTTATCAAGTACTGTGGTATTTTAGGACAGAAAAGGATCACCTTCAACTAGATAGTGAATGTGTATTTATCTACCAAACCGATAATGCTGCTAACTAATTTATTTGTGGAATTTTTCAAAATATACAATATAAATTAAACCTAGTTTCCAATTTTTCTTCTTCATAGTCGCATCTGCTGTATCTTGAGCCTCTAACACTGCTCTTGGCAATTTAACTAAGCCCAACAGATCCTCCTCTGGCACTCCCACCAAAGGCATGTCCCACTCATAATCCTTTCAGCACCAATTCCTGTGCCTTGTACACGGCCAGGGCAATAAATTTCCGAGGCACGGTACCTCGGTGCCTCCGACTAGGCTCAACACCGACTGTAACAAGCTCTAAGTGAAAAATAGAGAAAAATGACGTACACACAAGATAAACAACACAACCGAGGGAGGGCAGGGAGCGGGAGCTGGAGCTGAAGCGGGCACTGAGAGCTACATAAAGTAAAACTGTATTTAATTAACCGACATTGCAATTACAAATTCTGTGCAGCGGCGTAGAACTGGACCCAGGGCTGGGACTAGGGGCCACGGCCAGGACCAGGACTGGGACCAGAAACAGGACCAGGACAGAGCCTCTCTCTGCCTCCCCTGTGACCAACTGAATCAGAAGCAGCAGCAGCAGCAGCAGTAGCAGCAGCAGCTGCTGTTCGGCATACTAAAAAGAAGCTGAGTAAAAACCCAAAGCGACTACAACGGGACGGGGCAGTGCAAAACAATTTCATTTTGTGCACAGCCCGGCTGGAACTTATAGAGGAGGTGGAGGGTGGCGGCGCCATAAACGTGGCCTGGAAACGCCACAGTGGTGTGGCAACTACACATAAGGGAAACCCAATCTACGCTTCAATTTATTCCAACTAAAAGGAGCTCTTTTATCCACTGTCCTGGACAGTGGGGGCTAACTTCTGCACACAATGCACTTTTCAAGGCGTGCAAACAAAAGCGCAGCAGAAGCAGCTGACGGAACTAGTAGAGGCAGAAGATATAGAAACAGAATAAGAATAAGGAGGCTAAGGAGCAGCGGCAGATGCCCAAAGGGAAGTGGAAGCAAAGCTGCCTTTTGTTTATGGCTTCCAGAATTTACACCTTAAAGAACTGACAAGTTCTTCCTCGGCAGACACCTCAAGGAGAGGAAAAATTAACGGTAGCCAGTTATCATCCAGAAACAGAAGCGAAGCCCCTTCCTCACCTCCTCTCAACTCTTATCGGTTTTGTCCCCAGGCAGCAGACAGAGTTGTTAAATAAAAGAAAGGAAAAACGAAAAGAGCTGAAAGAAGGCGAGCAAGAAATGTAAGAGGTTGTGCATAACTCAAAAAAGTCTTAATGAATTATGAGCCCAATGTTGCAGGGGCCGGTATGTCTCGTCTGTTGTCTCGTCTGCGAGTCCTGCCAGTGGCAGGAGCGAAGTTCCCTTTAAGACGGATCTGTGTCTGGGCTGTGGCTGATGATGATTGCCGGGATATGGTGGCTGGGTGGGGTTTCAGGTGAATATCTAGACATCTAAGTACGAGCTTTATCTTTAAGAGGAGATTGTTGATTTAGCATTGGGCGTCTGATTCGCCACTTGCGAAGGTGGATGTGGTCTTGAGTGTCGTTCGAGTATAGCTAACGCTCTAGTTTGTATCTCATTTGAGAAAATATATAGCAACCCCCTCTGTGCCACTCTGGACCTGTTATATACACTGATGCACTCGAAAATGGCAAGCCATATTTCAATTAAATGAAATTAAATTCCACTTGGATTCGAAAATAAATGTATGGAAATATTTAATCTTAATATAAAGCAATTTTTTTCTCTGAGTGTGGCTTTGGTCACCCGTACATTATTGTTTGCAGCCGAAACAAATCTCTTTAGTTCCTTCCTGGCACTTTCATAAACACTCTTGGGACCGACCACATGACACCGCATAACAGTACATTTATTTTAATTATTATTGCTATTATTGCCACACTGAGCAACTACCAAACAACAATGGCCAGCAGCAGCACTAGCAGCAGCAGCAGCAGCAACAATGAAGCAGATAACGAAAGCCACTCTACATGCACGGAAATAACGAGAGTTCTCTCTCGGAGAGGAGTCTACAATAAATAAAATTTCAGAGCATAAAATCTAAACAACTGAAATTAATGTTGCCAGGCGACTGGAACAGCAACTGTAACAGCAAAAGGAGAAGGAGAAACAAGCAAACAAATACATAATTCCATGTCACACAATGATGAAAGTTTTGTAATGTTTGATGTTCCTTGCCTCTCTTTGACTCTCTTTCTGCATGCAGTTGCAGAAAATTAAGCAATTTAATTTAATAGATACAGGAAGGGGTGGGAGGGTGGTGTAGAGCGGGGCATGTAGCTGTGCATAACTGGAGCATATCCTCGCCATATTCTGCTGCTCCTGGCTGCTCCTGCTGCTGCAGGACAATAATTCAACACGTATTTAAATGCATATCCCTCCCTACCACCATCCCTGCCACCCTGGGAGCACTGGCAACCGTCTTGCAAATGAAAATTTACTGTGCATGTACCCAAGCGCCCAGCCCCAATCCGCCAGAAACAGAACCAGAAACGGAACCCAGAATCACAGCCAGAGACAGGGACAGGGACAGAGACCGAGGCAGAGGCAGAGCTCTCCTCTGGGCGGAGCACCGTTTTGAAATATTGTTTGTGCCAGTTGTGTTGTGTGTGTGTGTGTATGTGCCTGTATGTGTCTGTGCAAAAAGTTGGGCCAACAAAGCTGAACTACAATTGCAGGCAGAGTCCAATCGAAAAGCTAAATCAGAAATGTTTTTGCCCACCACGAAGTCCGACTCTAAACAACTAATTTCAGCTTAACCCAGTTTGGCCGCATTTCCAAAGCAATTACCGTGCTCGGGGGCTTGATCTCTGATTTATGGGCACAACAATACCGAGTACAATACATTTTTGTCATTTAATGCAAGTTGAAGATAAATTATGGCCGATAATCTGCTTGGGTGAGGGGGATGGCTGGGGTGGGTCTGTCAATGGTTCGGAAATCAGGCAACATCCGTTCCATAAACGGATATCCGGTTTGTTCGCACGTTCATGCTGTACTGCGCCCCACACGAGGGGAAAATCAACGTCGGTATTGTGGAACTTTTTACGATCTGTTCATGCTTTCGTAATTTGTTCAATGAATTAACCATTGGGGTAGAATGGGTCACAGCTTCAATGGTTAGCGAGTAGTGACGAGATGAATTTTAACGAGTAGAAACCAACGAGTGAAATGCGTGCTAAGAACGATTGGCACTCACACAGAAGACAGACCACTTTCCTTTCAATCTCGCATGTTTAATTCAATTCCATAGCAATATTAAGCCCCAACATGCTTGAGACACTCATTGAAGTCAGCATTCATTCATTCAGTCATTCATTTCAGTCAGTCGTTCAGCCACGACATCAGTCAGCGGGACACGCCCACTCTCAGCACTTCAATTTGGATATTTTCCTTTCCTTTTCACCCAACCAAAATGGCAAACAAGCGCGAATTGCGAAGCGAAAGTAGATACAGAATGCGACTGGGACTGGTAAGGGGCCGCAGCCGGGAGCTGGGGGCTGAGTTATTACGCGAATTTAGCATTTGAATAGAAAATCGAATATTTCAAGTGGCTGGTAATGACATTTCTGCTCCTCAAGCATTCAGGCATTCCAGCAGAAGCTCGAGTTGTCAGTCAACGGAATTTTTGAGGTAAGCATTGGCGCTGGGCTGTGGCTGTAATTGAAGCTGGCATGTGATTTATTAACTCAATAATGGCACAGATAGCTCTCAGCACAATCCCATCCCTTCCCAGCCAGCCTTTGCTTTCAGCGACCCTCATCGCATCCCATCCTGTTGTTAATGCAAAGAAAAATTGATGCAAATTTTCGCAGAATTACTCGCTCACGCCCCTCAGACCGAATTCCACTTAAATTCCGCGCATAATTCGATTTCGCATTCAAAAAGAGGAAAGCAAGCAAATCTGTATTAATCGAAATGTATTCAAGTTGAAGGCGACACGACCCCCAGGCATATGCCCGGGAATGTTTTGTGCTGCTGATTTCTTTTGTGGTGAGGCGTAATTGAAAGATCTACCGGGGGTAGTTGCTGCTGACTCAGACGCTGTCTCTGGTCTGACTTGCCAGGGAAGGAGTCTCCGTCTCCTCCTCGGAGATTAGCATAGGAAATCCCTTCCCCCATCACTTGATAAATCCCTGGACTTCCTGGACTTGTGATAATTTATGGAGCCCATAGGCCCCTCGCATTGGACTCGCTTTTGTCGCTGCCATTAGACAATTACGCCATAAGCTTTTGGCTTTCTCTCCGGCTAGATTTTTCTGGCTATTTTTGGGTTAATTATTTCTAAATGACAGTCCGGCAAAAACATTTCCGTTTCCGTTTGTCAGCTACGCTGTCGCCATCATCAATCTATGTAAATATACTTGTACACTCAGAGAAGACTAGCATGTAGGATATAAATGTAGTCTAAATACATTTACTTTAAATCTGAGTTATATTTAATTGAAATATTTGAATTTGTATATAAAAAAGATGCAAGTGAAAACACTTCAATATTAAATTCATAAGTCTATGTTTAGTGCTTTTTCTCTGAGTGTAATTATTGTGGCAGCTTTTTCTCAGTGTCTTTGCCATTCCCATTCCCATTCCTTAATATATCAAATGGAAAGGCTTTTAAGTAGCTGTTGGCATTTTCGATTTGAGACAACTAACATGTACGAGTATGTACATGCAGGCCCCAGCTTGGCCTCTCTCTATATTGTATTAGCTGCCATAACAACCATAACTAAGCACTTACGAATGTACACGAGTTGAGGAGGGAACGGTACGGAATGCGAGAGTGAAGTGGAGAGGGAGCCCAAGTGCAGGGCACAAGGACCAACTAGGACAACAACGAAAGCTGCACTCGCCTGCACTTGGGCAAACAAATTACAAATAATTACATTGGAAAGGCCATGCAGGTGCAGGTGCAGGTGAAAATCCCGCCCAGCCTTTTGCTCACTAACTGCAGGTGTAAACGGGTCCACTTTGTTGCATGTGTCGCTTGTTGTTAACGTCTGCGGTCCGCCTACTGATGCTGGTGATGCTGGTGATGATGATGATGATGGTGGCTGCTCTTGCGGCTAACTGGAACTGACTAACTGCCCCATTGGTTAAATTGCAACCCCCCCAAATCACACCTCACAACCTGTTCTGCTCAATCTCATTATGGGCCCTCAACTGGGCCCTCGACTGGAGCCTCACCTAATCACAAATGCAATTATAAAGGCAAATGATATTGCAGCCTGCCAGAAATGGCCTACAGTTGGAATTAGATCTAGAGACTTTCAAGCTATACGCTTATATATGAAGAACCAAGCAGGCAAAACTCACCCAAGCTGGATAGTAGATTCCCAATGGTGTCCGCATTCTGCCAGGCAAAGAAGAATATCCCAAAGAACAGCGTGATCACAGCATCCATCTCCGATTCGGTTATAATGGCATATATCTGACTGATCTGGGTGAGATAGGTTGCATGGGCGGCCCACATGGGTGCAGCAGCCACGCCCAGCAAAATGCCCGCCGGAATGAGTGTTAAAAAGCTAAGCGAATGAGCGAAGCATTGAATGAATATTTGAATGAGTATTACATCTTGGGACTATGTACATACCGCGAATACAGCTGCAGGGCTATGTAGGGTATGAAGCAGATCATGCCGATGACCAGGGTCCACTTGCAGGTCACGAGCCGTATCATGATGGTCGGCAGGACCAGACAGGAGATGCCCATCGAGAGGTAGATGCCGGAGAGGGCTATGGTGCCCAGACCATCTTTCGCATTCAACGAGGACTGTAGGTTGAGAGTGCCCTATAGAAAAAAAGGAGATATTAATACTCGTAGGTGGTTGGTGTGATCTGGTTGTGATCTGCGGACTCACCTGATAGGCCACGTACTGCGTCATCATGGCCAGGGAGATGACGGCCACATTTTTCAGTATACGCCACTTCTCCCCAGCACTAACGACAATTTTACCGCGATCGGAGTGATCTTGAGGGTGCTTTACTTTGTAATATTTCTTGGGCCTCACCACAACCTCCAGAAATTCTGTGGCAGTAGAGGAGCGACGCCTCTCGTTACTCATTTCCAAAAATGTTATAGACTTTCCTTTTCTTATGTTTAAAATATAGTTTCCAAACTGTTTTATGGCATTGCCTGACGTATGAAAATCTTAGAAATGGTTGCTTGATTTCTTGAAATATCTCGGTTACTCGCACGAATGGGAGTTTAATGTCCTGCGCCTGTGCCACATTTGCATTGTCTTCATGTGAGTTTCGCTCCTTCATTCGCTTTTCTGTTTGATGATGATGATGATGATGACAATGCTGTCGTCCCCTTGCCATCGCATTGTCTGGTGCCATTGTGGAGGCCCCTTTGTTTTTGCGCCTCGCGTGTCTAATAAAAGCGCATCACAATGTGGGTCATTGTACGGTCTACACACGGGCCAGTCGGCATCATATGGCTTTGCATTTGTCAGCAGCGTGGTGGTACAAACAGCACCAACACTAACGAATAAAGCGCTACTAATTGCAAACACACACACACACACACAAACAGAGAGTGGGGTTCCCCTGTGCTCGTCCCAGGAATAGGCGCAGCGGCTCTGACATCTCCGTCTGCTTTGTGGGCCCCACAAGTCCGCAACAGCTGCAGGAGCCAGAGCCACCGCAGAAGAAGGAACAATGGCTGGAAAATGTGTCAGTTATGGCAAATCGATATGGTAATTCATATTCGGATTAATTGTGTGGGACGGCAAAGCCTGAGGTCAGTGCTCCTTTCAGCCGCTGTTTAATCAATCGAATGCGTTTCTACATTGTCGATTCAATATTAAATTGGCAAAATATTATTCTTATGTGCACATATTTATTTATATATTTATTACAATCAATCATCCAAATAAAAATAGTTTTTTATTACAGATCAAGCTGAATATTATATGCAAAATACGTCAATTTCAGATATCCAAGAAAAGAGAGCACATAATTTAGAGAATATTGACTGCCATTCAAATTTTTTAAATTAAATATTTAAAGTGGCTTGAATTTAAGTAAATTAAAGCTATATTCTATTAAATTCCTTTAAATAAAAAAAAAGTAGTTTCAACATAAAATGTCTATTTTACATGAATTATTTTTATCTACTTTCTTTCTACACCAAAATAAAAGCCCCAAAAGTATGCCACAAAATATGAAAACTTCTTCCCTAAATATAGGTATGTAAAAGACTGCAATCAGAATTCTGTTTAGTGGGGAATGGTGAGGGAACTCAATGTACATACACATCCAGGGCTCGGCAGTTGTTGGAATCAATGCAATGTTCCATTTTGCCTGCCCTCTACGCACACAAACACATTGCAGGCCATGCGAATACAGCTCCATTTGGGAGCTATTGGATAGCATAGGTTAACTTCTGGGAATACCAGGCATTGATCAGACTTTGAGCGATATGCCACACGTTTACATATTTTAGGCCTATTTTTATGTCACGATTGATATTGATGAAAATCCTTCTATTGTGTGTAATTTATTCTGTTGAAAAAGGAAAGCTTGCAATTTATCGACCCACCCATTTAAATTATCAGAATTCATAAGAAGGCTACGAATGCATAGCAGATCTGCGGTTGGGGAAAATGGAAAAATTCCTGTTGTTAACCCAGGTTTGTGGGTAAAAATGGCATTCTCACACTCACTTTTTGACCTGCATTTTCCACCACATAGCGCCCGAATGTGTGAAAATGGCAGCCTCATAGCAGTTCCAGTTTCGGACTGTGCCTTTCAATCAGTTAGAGTAAAAGTATTCGGCTTGCTTTTCGTCTTGTTGTTCCCCCCACTAATTAAGTGCCTTTCGAAAGTAAAATCAAAGGCAAGCCAAAGGAAAAACAGACGGCGGCTTGGGTCGTGTCTGACTGACTTCGCTGCAGATCTGAGTGCGGAGATAAATGCGTTTGGAAATTTGTCGAACTTTGGCGTATGCAAATGCTGTCTCCTTGGGCGCTTTTGAGACAAATTTCCAATTTGTAATAAAACAACTGCGGGCCATGGCCGGCGCTGCTTTAGAAAGTATTCCGAAAAAAAGGCTCATAAACAGAATGGGAGCTGCTGCTGCTGCTGTTGCTGGTCAATCAAGTCTTGGCCTTTTTATAGGCAGAAATGTGTGGCAAAAAGAAAGGCCCCGCATGCAGCATGCCGCATGCAGCCAGCAGAATAAGTGATAGATTTTCAAGCTCATTGAATCAGGTTACCCAGGCAGGCCGGAGGACCGAAACCAAACCAGCTGCAAGTTCTCTTCTCCTTCTCCTTCTGCTTGCCTTTCACTCTTTCAGCTCCAGTTTGCCGGACCGTCGATTTCTTGGTTGCAATTTAATGGCAGCCAGCGAACGGCAATGGGCAACAATGCATCGCTGATTTCCATAGCCCGAGGGGCTATGATTACCACAGAATTATGCTCATGTCAGTGTCTGAGCAATGAAGACATATTATGGCCATCAAATTGGTGGATTTTAAGAGTCCCTCCAGCACTGGGCTACTTTTATCTTTTCTCAGACCAGACCCGAACTTCGGTAACTCCAATCATGGACATGCGAAATGCCTACTACCGTAGCTAAGGGAGTTGTCCTTCACTAGATTGTACCCACTTCCGGGATTACTAATAATCGTATCTAATCTGGGGCATTAACGTACCATATCATAGGCATATCGAATGGATACAGACCCACGTATTCTCCAACAATTTCTGCTTTTAAATAGCCACACCAACGAGATCCACACCGTAAATCCAGAAATGAAGGGCCCAATAACGTTGATGCTACTCCTTCTGCTCGTGGGTGTGGCCGTGGTCAGGCCAAATCCTATGCCTCAACGTAGACGAACTACTCCTAGACCCACTGGCAGTACGTATATTAAGCTGATTAGTTCCTCAAACAAAACGCATCGGACTTTAATCGGACTCTCCTTCTCCCCAACAGTTCAGAAATGGTGTAGAATTAACTTTGGACCGGCTTGGGGTGGCAGAGGATGCTAGAAAAGAATGCATCTAGGGTGCAGCTTAGACGTACTTAACAGTCTTGAATCTCGGCTTAATAAACTTAATAATATTCAGAGAGGGACAGGCTGCTACGTTACTGTCGTTCGTTCTGTCTGATTGATGATTGAAGGCTGACAAGAATCAAATAGTTTTAGCACTGTTATAGTCTGTTCTGGTACACACTGCAATTTTCGCATGCAAAGAAATGATTCTGATATTAGTGCAAAAAATATGTACATATACTTGTACTTGTGGCTGCTTTTTGAATGAAAATTTTACATGCAGCAGAGCGCAAAAACTTTTCCATTGTGACACACACACACACACACAAAAGTTTTCCCTTGCAGTCGGAGAATACTCGTAAGTTGATGCCACGCCCAGTTATACTCTCATTATCTTCTTGGCATGTAATTCCCAACTGAAACTCCCCTCCCCGCCCCGCCCAGCATCCCTTCTTCGCGCTCTTTCGCATGTGTGTCAGTTTGTTGCTCGCGGACAATGGCAAAAGTTTCTATTTCGGCTCGATAAAGTATCTGCTAGATACAATTTACAATATTTTCCGCTCAGCTCCTTCGCCCTCGTCCTTGCACACACAGAAACAGCCACCGAGGAGTGAAAGTTTTTTGGCAGAAAAGTATGGTATGTCTTTAATGATAATGACTTTAGCTTCATGGGCAAAAAGTAGCGCCAAAGTTTAGAATACGCCAACGTAACGCTTTTGCCCAAAAATTCCAAGTGGTTGGCACAACTTTTCCTTCCCCTCACCCTTGCGACTTCCAACACGACTGTTCGGACGAGTTTTCCCGTCCATGTGTGTGTGTGTGTGTTAACTTTTCTACGTGCTCTCCCGGAGAGTTGGCCAAATGAAATTGATAAGCAGAGTCGAGAGGGAGTACTCATATGTGGGACAAGGACTGAACAGACTGTGTTCTGGCAGCATTTGAATGCGAAGTAATTTGATATCGATGATCTGGGTCTGGGTCTGGACTGGTCCTTGTGTGCTCCTCCTTCCTTGCTCGAGGGCCTGCCTGATCGTGTCTCAGTGCTGCTGCAACGATTTACTTTTATCACAATCTCTGCAACAACTTTCAGCAATGTCGGCGATTTATTGCATCAGCTCCAACAACAGGCAACAACAGCAGCAAAAACACTTGGTTACGTTGTAATCGGCCAGACCAGGGCAGAGAGATACCATGGAGAAACAAGCAACTTCAGGAGCCCATGGCTACCACTCTCCGTCTCCATCTCTCTCTCTCTCTCTCTCTCTCTGTTTCTCTTCTCTCATCAACGCGGCTAATCTCGTTGTTGTTTCTGCTGCTGCTGTTGTCAACTTCTTTGTCGTAGTCGTCGTCGTCGTCTTCGTCTCCTCCTCATCAACATCATCAGCCAGCAGCCCCGAAAGTCTTCTCCCAGCCTCAGTCACAGTCCCAGGCTGTTAAGAGTTCAACTCGTGATGTTTAAGTGGTTTAAGCCAAGGTAACGATTTCCTCATTGGTCTACAATTCTCTGGTTCAGTTCGCTGTACGAGTACTTGTGCCTGCAACAACAAGAGCCTCTTGTTGTTTCAGTTGTTGTTGCAGGCGACATTCTGTCATGCCACGATCACGAACCATTCGTAACACATTTGTTGCAATTTTCGTCGCTATTTGTTAAGGTTCAAACGAGGTTGCAGTCGGAACGCAAGGCAAGGGTTCGTGGACGGGGGTCCGAGGCTGTAAAATATGTACTAGCTGCAGGATAAAGATTGATTTGGAGAAGCTGCTCGAAGGAAGTTGAAAATACATTACACAAGACGAGTGCCAGCTCGCGTTCCAGTTACGGAATAGACTAGTAATATTATAAGTTAGTTAGTTAGGAGGAATATTCAATTAGAGCATGAAAAATGAGTTTCGACACATGATCTAGCGGATAATTCTATTTAAGTACAAGATATAAATAATAATAACAAATAATTATGTATATAATTTATTTTAATGTATAAATCAAACTGCATATATTTTATATTTGTACTAAGATTCAACGAGTACTTACATATTATTTATACTGGTTGATGTCCTGCCTCAGGCTGTCAATGGGCTTGCTAAAGCGGTTATCCAAATTGCAGTCGCATTAAATTCACTTCCGCTTCCAAGAGGCAAGCTCATCCGGGGCGGACGCACAATTGGTTTTGTGGGCTGCAAGGGGAATGGGTAAAGGGGAGAACAGGTGTAAGCCATGACGCCGCCAACGGGCGACACATTTGGCAGCTATTCAGGTGTGATAACAACAATGTGCCAAAGCCGATAGAAAGGGATGCACACAAACACACACACAGCAGGGATAACAAAGAGATAGGGGTATGGTTATTGGTATAGGTATCGGGGATGGTGGATGGTGATGGCGGATGGGGCATGGGGAATGGGGTGGAGTAAATCAAATTGAATAATTGTTACATGGCAAAACGAGGACCGGTGATGGACAGCTGCCCGGGACATATGATCGAAATGCCGCCTAACAAGCCCGTGCAACAACAACAATATCACAGAGAGAACAACGAGGAGTCCGTCCTCCTCTTTCCGCTTCTGCACGCCATTCCAGTCCGTTTCGTTCCATTCCGCTGCGATGCGACTTCAATTCAATCAATTGAACGTGCCACGAATGGTTAGCAATAACAAAATAGCCGCTGTAGAGGACACAGACACAGACACAGGCAGGAACGGGCACGGGAACAGGAGCAAGGACACAGAGACTAGAGAGGAACGGAACTGGGAGTGGATTGCAGCTGGGAGTGGCAGTGGGCAGTGGGAGTGTGACAGAGACTGGGACAGGGAGCAGCAGATCCGACCAGACCAACTGGCGTGTGAAATTGACAATGCAGCTGCGAAAGAGGGGAAAGAGAGACACTGCAAGAACAGGACTTAATAGGGATCCTGCCCGCACTGTCTGCATTTTTGTATCATTAACTGTAGTGCCATTCCTCGATTTGTGTATTCATTTATATTACACAATTAACGCTGAATTTTTGTCAGTGTATGGGAAATATTTTTGCACGCGACAAACGGCCAGCATGCGGGATTAAGAGCCAGACACACCTGCCTGGTCGACAGGGTCTATAGACAACCACCGTTCCTGCCTGTTTTCACTTCATGGAAATGTCCAGTCCGTTGTCCGCTGTCCCATTGATTGACAGGATACACACACCCACACACACCCACCACACACACACACACACACCCATCAATTGCGGACATTTTTGTATAAAACTGGGAGAAAAATAAGCAAATAAAAGTTATTTAGGTTAAATGGAGATCCCGGCAAGGGGGTGATGTCGTCAGTGATTTTCAATATTTGCTGCAGGAGCACTCTCCACATGCCCATGGGGCGCCATAACAGGTGTTGATATGTTTATAGACTGTCTAATGGTGGGGGGGACTGGGGCCTGGCCCCCGACCTGCTAATGGGAATGGGAATCGTTTCAATGGGCGTGCAATTTGCACAAATTGCAGATAGACCGCATCGACTCAAAGCGAGTCAAGTTTGTGGTGGGACGCGCCTGGTTATCAATTAAACAATTAGAATGCTATTATTTGTATGGGCTCGCAGAAGGAGAAGGCAGCGCCAGAGCCCTCAGCCGGTCTGCAGCCCGGCCCACCAGGACAGCTGTTTGTCAAATAAACATCTCCCACTCCGCTGGATAATTTCGGATCGCTTCCTGGTTTGCCATTCCCCATTCACCGTTGCAACGGTGCCTGAGCGTGCGGGAACGAATCTCTTGAGCCGCAGATTGCCACGCCCACACACACACACACAGACGCACAGTGCAATCAGGCGGTGCATAGCTCAATGTGGCACTCTTCAAGTGCACACGCCAGGCCAAATTACAAGGGATTCGATCCAATACGTTGCGATGCGATGCGATTCGAGGGGAGAGATAGACAGGAGGACGTGGCGCAGTTTTTTAAATTAAAAACTAAAATCGATTGACATTCAATTTGAGGCAGGCAGCTCGAAGACTAACTGCGCCCCAAAGTCATCTTCCCAGCCGGGTCTCTGAGTCGTCTCTCCACTCGTCTCTTGTCTCTGCCTCACTGCCTCACTGCTCGCTGTCGTATCTCAAGTCAACATTTGTCGCTATAAATTTGCCAGTGCACAAGCTTTGCACATTTCCTAGACTCTGGCACGGATGCTGGGATGCTGAGATGCTGGGACGCCGGGACCTCGGCATGGGATGCGTGTGCGTGCGTAAGATACTCTGAGAGCTCTCTCAGATGGAAACTGGGAGCAGTCCCAGCCACAGCCAGCTACTGCTTCCTTCCTAACGACAACCTTGGCAGCCAAGCAACAGCAACAGCAGCCGAAGACGACATTCAATACATGCTGACATGTGTGCCGGGCCCTGGGAGATGGCTACGAAGCGACAGGGAACCGACAGGGATAGTACAAGAGTCAGCTTCTGAACGGTGATCACAGTGATTACATATTGTTTATGTACTGGAAGCACTTAAACGTATAACATTTTCTATCGAAAATAGAAAATATTAAAAATCAATATACAAAATATAATATATAATTCCATAATATATAATGCTATCCCTGTGATCTCTGGTATATACTCGTACAATGAATATTGAAAAGTTTCTCTTGAATTGGATACTTGCATTAGATACTGGCACCAAACAGTTCCCAGTGCAAATCCATTCGTCATCTGTGACTCCTGTTCCGTTATTTGCTCAGCTCTCTCAGGAAAATCTACTCATATGCCACAGACCGAGCTTCGCGTTTGGCTTTGGCTTCTGTATCTCTGGCATCTCCACAGATATCTGTGTATCCACATGGCCATCCTGTCGTATCTGCTGCCATGTGGCTTTCCGCGTTCGCGTGCAAATTTTGTGACACTTCACCCACGGGAGCGTTTTTTGCTTTGGCAGCTCTGAGACTGAGAGCTCCCTTCGGGGCGGCTGGGCTCCCTCTCTATTAATCCTTGCTGACGCTGACAAACTGTGGCAAAACTGGCTAAGAGGAGATGTGAAAGCAGGGAGTGCCTGGTAGCTGATGGCTGGTAGCTGATGGCTGATGGAGAAAGAGTTGCAAGCATTTTTTAGCTACTTTGTATCTTGAAGATGCCACAGGAAATTGCTGATTAAAGTTCCAGCATAGCATCTCTCTAGTCAACCCTTCATTAAGTGGCAGTCGTCCCACTCCCACTCACACTCCCATTCCCTCTTCCCTCTCATTCTCATCAAGTGCGGAGGCGGCTTTGCATCGATGGCGTGTGCATAATTTCCCCTCAAAAAAGTAGCAGCCCCAGATGCAGTTGATGCAACAAGTTGCCATGGCTTTTAATTGATATTAATTTAATTGACACTCCAGCCGAGTTCTGGCTCCGGCTCCGACTCTGCGCTTGCCCCTGGTCTTTGACTAATCGCGTGGGCTTAGTGCCGCTTCGCCTGTCGTGGCAGCTTGTGAAGTGGCAGCTTCAATGAGCCTGGCATGTAAACACAGCCCGATCTAGCGGAGGGGAGTGCTGGAGCTGGAGTTTCCATTTAAGCGCAATTAGGTCTGCTCTCGTGATTAGCATTAATGAGAGTCAGGCAAGTGCATGCGAAAGGGTTCGTTCCCCCAGAGCTGATCAACTAATCCATTTCCTGGATATTCACGCATTTGCTGCCACAAAATTTAAATGTTCATCTGCTGCCCATCATAACGGTAACTAGAGTCTTATTGCATCTCTCTCCCTCTCTCTCTCCCTCTCCGGCTGTGTCGTGCCTCGACGCCATCATCTCGATGGCTGCGAGACGCTCTAATCGCTCATTAAATGGCCACAATTTGCCTGCTCGGCATTGCATTTAAATTACTTTCCCATTGGCTCTGCCACAGCCACAGACACACTCAAATTTGTTTATGAGGGCCAGCCAGAACAGGGCCTTTTAACTAAAACTAAAACTAAAGCTCATAACTCTGGCTATGCTATGGCTCTCCTCCTCTCTGCGACTGCGACTGGGACTGGGACTGGAACAGAGTCTGGTCCGTTGGACAATCGAGTCGCGTGAATTTCAGCAATCAGGCCTAGTCCGAAACCTACCTCTCCCCAGTTCCCCAGCTCCCTGCCACTTCTCCGTCATCGTCGTCGTCGTCGCATTCATCAAAAAACGCTAAAGTCGTGCAGTTTGCAGTTTCCAAATCTATGCCCCACCCGCATCCTCCAGTTCCAGTTGTCCCCGCCTTCCCTGTTCCCTTATTGCAATCGGCATGCCATGCAAAAGTTTTTCCTCAGTTTTTTCCTCAGAATTTTCTATGCACTCTGGAGAGGCAGGGACAGTGACTCGGCAACTGGGAAAGACTGGGAAACAGAACTGACCGACGTGATATTATAAATTTAACTTTGGCCTCGCTCGCTGGGGCTGCTGCCACTTCCTTGTGGGCCCTGGCCCTCCTGTCCAGCCATGGGAATGTGCTTTCGTTTTGCTTTCCAAAGCCCAAATCTATCAGAATCTACAAGAATCTATGGTTGGTTCATCTTTCTGCAGTTTCTTGTTACCACGCTTGATGTAGGAATTATGATTGGAATAAAGAGAGGTAAATGTATCCTAATTCCAGCTGGAATATTCATTTTAATGACAAATATGTGGCTGAATAATTTCATCGTTTCCACTTGGTTGCTGATTTTCACTGCCATGACCAGCTTCTATCGATTGAAACAGATGGAGGTCCCCCCAAAAATCTATATATTTATATTATATATATCAATAAAATCCCCTAGCCCCGACCCCAAGCCAACTCCATGCGCAGCGCTCGTTCCCACTTCGGGGGCACTTCAAAAGGAATTTCAAATATTTATTAACGCCCTCCCCGGGCAGCAGCCTCATAACTGTTGTAAATTACTTGGCCAGGTTGTAAATATTAATAACCGAAAAAGGG